ATAGGATCCGAACCCGCGGCGGGAGCGCTGCTGCGTTCCCAGCACCGCACTCTCCCGAGTGTGCCATGGGCTCGGCCCAACATTTCATATCTTGATGATAGTTTATGTTTCATACTGTGTACTGGGTGTCTAAATGACATTTTTATCCATATTATAAAAACAATTTTATTAAATAGTCCTTTATTTTACCTCTATATTTGTTAAAAGTACTATCATCTTAGGCATTTGCAGAGTTTATTCTGAAGTTAGCATTGCCTCTCAAGGAAGGGATCTGGTGCACATTTTAAGCAGGAGAAGGAGCAGATAAGTTATTTAGTATCCCTCTTTTCTTTCTTTGGAGTCTAAATAGCTTGGCTTTATAGAAGACTTATTTGGAGTAATTAAAAGATTAATCAAACCGCTGGAAATTGTGTTTGCTTATTTATCAGAGTTGCCATGTCTGCTTAAATAAGAAACACTAAGTGTCAAATAATAGTGTTCTGAATTCTCAGGATCTTCAAGTTATATTCTTGAGTACACTTTCTGGGGTCTGTTGCTTTTTCCATTTTATTTCAGAAAGATATAGATACATCCATATATAATATATAGATAGTATTAATGTATAATAAATATGGTGTTCATTTTCATGTTCTCAAATTAAGTGCTGTGCTATAAGAGATTATTTTTTAGGTTCTTGTGTTTTTATATATATGTGCATATTTTTTTAAGTCAAGGTCTGGCTGACAACACTGTTATTGCTAAAGTCAATAAAGTTGTTTGGGACCTAGACCGCCCTTTGGAGGAAGATTGTACCTTGGAGCTTCTCAAGTTTGAGGATGATGAAGCTCAAGCAGTAAGTTTTTATTCAGTATTCATTGAATTTGAGGATGAAAATTCACATTTGCAGTCTTTTCCAACTCATTACTGCTACCACTGGGTGTCTAAAGTTTATTGATGTCTCATTGTCAAACCTGAATTCTCCATTTTGTCTTTCATTTAGGGGACATAATAAAAGTGCTTGCCTTAGAAAATTAAGGGCTGGCCCGTGGCTCACTCGGGAGAGTGCGGTGCTGATAACAACAAGGCCACGGGTTCG